TTATTGTTTTTTGTTTGTGTATTTGTTTTTTAGATCCCACATATAAGTGGAACCATCTGGTATTTGTCTTTCCCCTTCTGACTTATTTCACTTAGCGTAACACTCTCTAGGTCCATTCCTGTTGTATCAAATAGCAAGACTTCATTTATTTTATGGTCGAGTAACATACCATTGTGTATATATGCGACATCTTCCTTATCCACTCATGTATGGATGAATACTTAGGTTGCTTCCATATTTTGGATATTATAAACACTGCTGCGGTCAACATACGGGTGCATGTACCCTTTCAAATTCATGTTTTTGTTTTCCTTGGGTAAATGCTGAGAAGTGGCATTACTGGATCCTATGGTATTTCTGTTTTCACTTTCCTGGAGAACCTTCAGACCGTTTCCATAGTTGACGGACCAATTTACATTCCCACCAACAGTGCACAAGGGCTCCCTTTCACCACATTCTTCTCAACATTTATTATTTCTTGTCTTCTTGGTACGAGCCATTCTGACTGGTCTGAGGTGGTATCTCACTGTGGTTTTGATCTGCATTTCCCTGATGATGAGTGATGTTGAGCAGCTTTTCATGAGTCTGTTGGCCATCTGGATGTCTTCTTTGCAAGCCTGTCTATTCAGATTCTGTGTTCCTTTTTTAATTGAATTACTTGTTGTTGTTGCTGTTGAGTTGTACCAATTCTTTATATATTTTGGTTATTAAGCCCTTCTCAGACCTATCACTTGCAAGTATCCTCTTCCATTCAATAAGTTGCCTTTTTGTTTTGTTGATGGCTTCCTTCTCTGTGCAGAAGCGTTTTAGTTTGATGTAGGCCCAATAGTTTATTTTTACTTTTGTTTCCCTTGCCTGAGGAAAAATATTAGTAAGTCTGATGTGCAAGAGGTTATTGCCTGTGTTTTCTTCTACGAGTTTTATGATTTCAGGCCACAAATTTAGGTCTTTAACCCATTTTGAGTTCATTTTTATGTATAGTGTAAGAACATGGTCCGGTTTCATACTTTCACGTGTGGCTGTCCAGTTTTCCCAACATTTATTGAAGAGACTGTCTGTTCGACACTGTATATTCTTACCTCCTCTGCCATAGATTAATTGACCATATACATGTGGGTTTATTTCTGCACTCTTATTTCTGTTGCATTGATCTTTGTGTCTGTTTTTGTGCCAGTACCATACTCTTTTGACTACTACAACTCTGTAGTATAGTTTAAAATCGAGAATTATATCTCCAGCTTTGTTCTTCTCTCTCAAGATTGTTTTGACTATTCAGGGTCTTTTGTGGTTTCACACAAATTTGGGGATTTTTTGTTTTGGTTCTGTGAAAAGTACTATTGGCATTTTCATAGGGATTGCATTCAATCTGTAGGTTGCTTTGGGTAGTATGGACATGGGTAGTACGAACAGGGTTCTTCCAATCCATGAGCATAGTATGTCTTTCTGTTTGTGTTGTCTTCGGTTTCTATCATCAATGTATTATGATTTTCCGGGGGAAGGTCTTTCATCTCCCAAATTCTAGCCTCTACTGTATCTGTTTGCTGATGTCCCATCTGTCAGAGCTGGTCACATGCCCAACCCAGATTCAAGGTGGAGAGGAATGCCTCTCTGCGGAAGGATCTGTAGGTCCCAGTTCAAGGACACGGAAGCAGGGAGGGGAACAATTGTGTCTGCCCGTGGCCATTGCTAGCAGTTTATATCTCGGGTCATGTAATGAAATGGATCTTGCCTTATTCGTGAAAAAGCAAACACATTTTTTGATAATGCAACGGGTAGAAAATGTATCTGTCGCAAATACGTGACAATTGGCAGCATCTAATGGGTTTCTTAGTTGGTCGTGGGTATCGCCTTAGGAAACCTTCTTGACAGATCTAACAATTTCTGTTCATGTTGCAATTTTTCTCTTCAAGCCACTGTCATTACTGTCTTCCACTGTAACGTGTCGGTGAAGATACACGTGTTCTCCTGACTGAATGTGGGAAGTAACGGTTGTTTGTGTTCTCTCGTAGGTGTTTGCCCAGCTATTGTGAGCACGGGGGCGAATGTTCCCAGTCCTGGGACACCTTTTCCTGTGACTGTGCGCACACTGGCTACCTGGGCGCGACCTGCCATTCCCGTAAGCCCCACACCCTGCCTGTTCCCTTTTCTGTCCTGATTTCCATGCAGTTCTCCTTTCCTTTTCTTTCTTTCTTTTTTTTTTTAACGTTTATTTATTTATTAGAGAGAGAGAGAGAGAGAGAGAGCGTGTGCACGCGAGCATGAGTGGGGGAGGGGCAGAGAGAAAGGGAGACAGAGAATCCCGAGCAGGCTCCAGGCTTTCAGCACAGAGCCTGATGCCGGGCTCGAACTCATGAAACCGTGAGATCCTGACCTGAGTCAAAAGCAAGAGTCAAAGGCTTAACCGACTGAGCCCCCCAGGTGCCCCCTTCTTTCCTTTTCATTATTTCGTGTATATGTGTCTGTGTCTGTGCAACCACGTTCTGGGAAGTAACAACAAAAACAAGTTTTTAGGGACCAATTTTTGTCTGGTTTCTTTTTTTTTAATTTTTAGAATATTTATTAATTTTTTTTTGTCAAATGCTGATTTATTAAAGAAACAAAACTTAAGCATTATCAAGTTTCAGACAGAGCTCAGCATTCCCCCCCTTATGGTTTTTCTGTACATTTTCTGGTAAGACTTAACATTTTATCTTTCTTAACAAAAAATACATATTTAGGGGTGCCTGGGTGGCTCAGTCAGTTAAGTGTCCGACTGTTGATTTCGGTTCATGTCATGAACTCATGGTTGGCGAGATAATTTTTGAGAGGGACAGGGAGAGCGCAAGTGGGGGAGGGGCAGGGAGAGAGGGAGACACAGAA